TGGGGAAGCTAAACAAATGACCTGGGAGCATATTCCCTTGTATAAATATTTAAACTTGAATGTTTATATAACACCACAGAAAAATGGTTGTGTATGTGTTTTTTTTTTTAAACCAAAATCAATAATGCTTCTTGAATTTATGATTTAAAGAATATGTTTTCATATGATTATTTGGTATCATGTTTCATTAAGTTATATAATATATATACTTCAAAATTATATTTTATTTTTAAAACCATTTTCATGATAATCTCATAAACATGAAACATGAATTGTTTTTTGAAACATAAGGTTCAGTTTTGGAAAATGGACAAATATAAATATGTAGAGTGCAAAACCTTGTATTTTATATTATTTTGTACATGGTTTTAAAAAATGATCTGCAAATGGAACCATTTTGATCACCGGTTTTTGGGTCGATGGTTCAACCGTTCGGTTCAAATGGACGGTCCGTTCCAACAAAAATAATTAAAAATAAAAAACAGCCAAAAATCATTGAATAGGTCTACGGGTCAACGGATCGTTGACTGATTCAACGGTTTTTGGCTAGGGATTGGGCTTGGGGTAAAACAGAACCGGTTGCCTAGATGGTTCTCGTGCTGAACAGTCCGACCATACGAGTCAACGGTGGTTCAAAAACCATGATTTTGTATGCATTTACACTCTATATATTTGTATTTATACTCTTTCCAAACTAAGCCTAATGGACTTGTTTTTGTTTCAGAAAAACAGTGCTACAATATTTGTTATTTTTTTCTGCCATAAAAATTTTAAAAACAACAAATGGAAATGAAAACATTGACCATGTACACACCCCCTACAAGCATAACTAGGTAAAATTGAATAGTTGCAAGAAAAGCACATTCAATTCAATACCTAAAAAATATATGACAATAAAAATGTTGTATTTTTTCGAATTTTTGAACCACAACCAAACTTATCCGATATTTAACCAAACAAAATTCAAACTGAAATAGAGTTCAAATCAAACGTAAGCTCATAGTCAAGCCAAAATAAGACTATGTCGAGGTTTGACTCTGTTCAGTTCGATTACACTCGGAGAGAATGATTAACTGTAAACTAATAAAATGGCGAGAGAACAACAGATTTCAAGAGAACCATTGATTGAACTAAACTGTTCCTCTCTCTCACACACACTAGTAACACAACCCCAGTTGGCTAGTCCAATGTGCTAGGGTTCTAAATTGCAATTATCTTGGGTTAAATCTCCTTCCTTTGACCATGGTCTGGCCTTGGTAACTGGACCTGTGGATTAGAAAGAGGCCGACTTCAGGCCTAGTTGAGACTGAGCCAAATAGGCCGTTAATAGGGATGGACTCCCCATGCATCTGTCTATATGAGAATGAGAAAACTATTTCAGAATTCAGATGCATGATGAGTTTTAGAAAACAATACAATCATGGTCAAATTTCAAACAAAACCTTTTATCCTAGCCCAAGACCAACAGTTCCCTTCCCTTCCCAATAGAACCATCACCACCTGAGCTCTAGCGACTACGTGCTCCTGCTCCTTGCATCACCTCCAGCACATGTCTGAGTCAGATCACTCTTCAGAATCCCATGGATGAAGCCTTCATCTCATGTTTCTTTGGAGCTCGAGCCTTTTAGCAAAAATGGGTTTGCTTGGGCTTGGGCTTTGTGGGGGACCATGATGTCATTCACCTTTTCCATGATAGTGTGGTCCCCTTCTAACCAGCTCGAATTCCCTTGCAGCCTCTAGGTCTAGCCAATGAACGTACATGGATTCTGTCCAATGAAAATATCTGGCCCTTTTAGCCCATTAAATCGAGGGTGTTCAACTGTTCATCATAACCATTGAGTAAATTGACAGTCCTTGCCATCAAACCAACTCTGGTTGTTGGCCGTTAGATGATCAGAACTCCTTATCATGGGCTCATGGCTAGTGTTCGTCTCACGTGTAAAAAAACAATAAGAAATTGATATATTGCTGCCCGATTAGATACTAGGAGGGAGGTTAGCACGTGACATGTGATGGGGAATGTACTTGTTGATGCAATATTATATAGTGAAGCTCACGTGCAGGGGATGGAAGGGCTGAGCCCCAATTAAAATCCAAAGTTGAAGCATCTCGAACTGATCAAATATTCTCTCAACCAACCCAAACCGGCGCAAAGCCCAAAACCACTTTCAGCGTACAATGTTTAGTTTTTTGTAATTTTCTTTTCCACTTTGTTGTTTAGGTGTTTCTAGTCAAAGGTCAAAGGGTGAGCAGTGCACGAAGGAGGCCCAGCAAAGGCAAAACTTAAGAGGACTCAGCGTGCAAGGCGCACGAGGGGATCCACAGAGATGGACTTTGGGTTAGCCTCACTCACATGGCTCATTTCTTTCTATATGTTTGGCCTTTTCAAGGACTGAAATCACATGGCAGATGGCACCCCTTTTGGGGAGGCTTTGCTACTTTGTGCTGCCTCTGTTCCCACTTGAAGCACCGAAAGGAATGAAGGTGGACGTACTTTCACCGACTTTATCTTTGCTAGTGTTTCACCCATCAACTCTCTAAGAGTGCCACCCTGACTCACTCCATGAGTGGTTTTGATCCACTAATTGTATGATGTTATATGTTTGGATCCATTTAGATCAAATTCCAATGCTTCCTCTCTCTATCTCAGAGCTCTAAACCAAGTTCAAATTTGATCAGATTGAATACAAAAATGCTCAGTTGTGTCCCATTCTTCAAACTGATGAGTAACTTGATGCAAGTTTGAGAAAGCATCAAATGATCTAAATTCTTTTTGCATGGAATTCAGAGATACTCAAGCCAAGTTGGTTTTTATGTTGGATTGGATATTAATCAATTTTGGTTGATGAAGTTGACAAAGGACTAGTCCAATCAAAAGTGGATCTATTCGTGATCCATATCCAGGTTAATTTGATTGGATTAGGGGGAGAAAGAGAGAGAAACTGTTATGCCAAGAGGTTGGGCTCAATACAAGTAGGGTTGCAACTGGGTACCCAACTTTCACGGTTCCACCCCCAGATCCTAGTTTGACTCAACCCAAAACCCAATTTGGGTCAGGCTAACACGACCCAAACCTGACACCCAACTAAGTTTTTGATATACCTAACACAGTAGGGTTGGATCAAGGTATGACTACCATTTAACACGACCCAGGACCCAGATCCATTGACAGACCTATAACCCAAGTACCCAACGCTGATTATTCATACAGAAGAGATAGACTGGTCCATAAATTAGGTAGAACAGATAATCAGAACTACGTCTTAGTATACCATACCCACTGCAACAGATGAATAGTGTAACCCTGGTCTCGACCTGCTGCGTAAAAACAACTCAATGTCAAGCAATCACCATGTGGACTGTGGAGAGTTAAGGAGCTACCAAGCCATTTACCATGCAAGAATAGTTAAGGTCAGAGATGCTGCTATATCACAATGGGGCTCAATAAAAGTGGAATGGCATAATAACATTCATATTGCTAAATGGATGAAGCTTCATTTGGATTTTGGCAGTTGACTGCAGACTCTAATGGATGGAATGTTAACAGGGAGTCAGTGATACCTGAAACAGATCGAGGCATCCTTGAACCAAAATGAAAAGAAAGCTACTGGCAAGATTTACTTGTGCAATCAACAGAACACTGGTCACCCTGATGCCAAAAATGGCCATTGGAGGAGAGTTTTGTTCTCTGTAGATGTGCCAGAGAAGGAGGAGAGGAGCGGGGGATGTCTCAAATGAAAAACTAGGCTAATCACAACATTGATCAAAATGATGGAACTAACTGTTTTTATCTGATTTCATCCAAGATACCACAGCATCAATTAAGATAAAGGAACCAACTACTCTAATCTGATTTCCTTGGGCAATTGCAATGGTAAGGCCACTATATTCTCACAAAATGCAACAATACACATGGGACCATTGCCCTCAAGAATTTATGAACCTTGAACTCCTCTCATAGCACCGATGGCCCAGTAATCGAGATGGTTGCATGGCCTTTCCCTCCATTTAGGAATTAGATGGTGCAGGATCAAACCCAGGAACACACAAGCTCTCCATGACCTTTCACCATTGCAGACACCCTGGTCCAAACCAATTTTGAATCAACAATCTACATGTTCATGTTCACAGTCCTCTGCAAGAACACCCTTTTTTTTTGCATCCATCTTTATCCTTTTCTTTTTTAGGAAATTCTATCATTAGGTGGAGAGAAGTCATACATTACCTAAATGGTCTGAAAAGACATACACAACTAAACAAAAGTAGCAGAAAAGAATCAAAGAAAGATGACCACAGATATGGCATTCAACAGAGAGGAATGGGGGAACAGGATTCATGCAAGCCAACACCATATAGCTGGGACAAGGCTTAATTACTTGAGATGAGTAATTATATTAATGACTAATGTCGAACAAGAAGTTTTAACACTGCTTTTTCGGTTAAACCACTCAGTTCAATGGTCCTTTTCCACAATTTTGATTCAGTTCATGGAATGAGCTGTTAAAGGTTCCAGTTACAGTTTGAGTTCAACGCAGCCCAACCCTACATACTGAATTCTAAAAGGTTCAATTAGAAGATTAAATTCTTAACAAAAACCAACCTTGCTTCAAGCATTGTGTGCAAAGAACATGATGGACTATTGCCCTTTTGCTAGCATAATTGAATGGTTTTGATTTGTAATAAAAGCCTTTTTTTATAGGTAATTTGGCCTCATCAGAAATCAGGTGAGCCACCCACAAGTAAGACATTTTTGGTTTCAACTTTCAAGCATCCAAAACCCTATAAGGGCATTTATTTATTTATTTTGGTATTTCCTGCGTTCCTTTGAAGTTAACAGCAGAATTGGGATGTTTTAAGGATCAGGACAAACTGAGTGGAGTTTTAAGGATTTTTCCCAAAATTTTATTTCATATTTTTAACAGACAACTATTAATTGAGAGAGAGAGAGAGAGAGAGAGAGAGAGGGCCTTTTAGTCAAAAGAGCGAAACGGATAGGAGAATTTGAACGCTCGGCCACAAAGCCCCTCCCGACCATAACAGTCGAACGTGGGATAAAGAGAGAAAAAGTAAACGGATGATCTGCTGAATACCTCTCATATGGCTGCCACCAATACCTTCTTTCCTCTCATCCCCTCACTAAAACAAAGTGTTCCCTCCCTTAATCCATGGAATTCCTGCAAACACATTTCGAGTTCTGTCACTTTTCACTCCATCTCAAATTTGAACCAAAGGCACGATGTTGCAGTCTCAGTCGCCTTTAATCCATCTGGGAATTACGACCTTTCATTGTACGATGACGAAGATGGTAAAAGCTTTCTCTCTTTTTCTCAACAACTTTTTTCCAAGTTTCTGGTTTAATATTTGCCTTCTGAAATATAAATGCGCAATTCAGTTCAGTCTATTCATTATTTTGTTTTATTTCATAACATCCTGAACTTTATGTAATCGGGCCAGTGAACAACTAGGTTGATTCAATTTTATAAAATGATTTAAACAGTGTTCCCCAGTTTGAGTTTGATATAGCTCTGTGCAAGCCGAATATAAATCAAGCAAGTAACTATAAATTTAGAATTTCATAGGTCTGAAGCTGGGTCGGGTTACTAGGCTTACACAGAATTGTAATAGATCCAATAACAATGTCAGATGACACATAAGATAAAGGGTCACTGAGACTCATATTAGAACCCGTGAATTTTACTAGATTTAACTATATTGAACTTTGGTTGTCAGATACTCCGAAGGTGGAACCCCCAATGCCTCCCACAGAAGGGCGTTTTGATGTAGTTATAGACAATGATATTATTCAGCGTCTCGATATATCACCAGTAATTAGCTCACTTTCATCAGGTAAGTAAGCATCCGTTTGTGACTTTTGACTCTGTGAGGCTTCAGACCAAGAATCTGAACTCTTTATGATCACTGAAAACTGTTTTTACAACTTTACATATTTTAAGCTCTTATAATGGAATTTCAAAGAATTCCACCTGGAAAATCCCTGCAGATGGTGTCTTTGCAGAGCCAAAAGAGCTTCTTGAACGGAAAGTTGGTTTTACCATAAATTATACAAGAGAGGATCCATATGATCCTCGTGAACTATCTGAATTCCCAGATCTAAGACTATGGTTTGTGAGGCTTGATGCTTCTTATCCATGGTTGCCTGTTGTATTGGACTGGCGAGCCGGAGAGCTTGCTCGCTATGCAGCCATGTTGGTTCCTCACCAGGTACTGAATTACTGATTAAGTCAATTAACTTATTTGTTTGTTAGACAATTCATTAGATTTCTAAGGTCCCAAGTTTCTTTTGGCAGATGAGCATGAGAATGGGTGTTGTATTCAACCCAGAGGCATTGGAATTGTTTGCAATGAAGAAAGCTTTTATTGTGTACTCTTGGTTGAAGCAACATAAAATTCCCAAGTCCAAGTTGAAGACAAGGGACATGGCTAGAATGCTTGGATTTGGTATAGGGGATGAATTGTTTGATCTGATTGATGCACACCCCATTTCTCCATCATAAGCTGAGAATTTCTGTAGTTCCAATATGTGGGACCTTGCATGGATATCCAATTCCCAGCAAATTTGTGAAGCTCGTAAGTACTGGCATTGAGGACATTGAATTTGAGAAACATCCATAAGATGCAACAAGAAAGTTAGAGTGGAAGGACAACAGAGAAGTGAATGCAATCCTTTTCAATAACAAGTAGAATGTTTTGATGACTGAAGTATTGTATTGCTCTTCACACCAAAAAAAAAAGGCAAAACAAAAGAAGAATAGGTATCATTTTGTTTGACAGAGTATAATATACTTTGCTATTCTTTCTTGAATTCTTAACTACAAAAGAATTCATGTATGTTTTACAATAAATATATCTCGTTTAAATGAAAGATAGGATTATAGGAAGATGAGGATTTCTCTTTGTTCGTCTCTTTTCCTTATAATTAAAGGGCTTCAGCAACATTAAGACACCATTGGGAATATAGGAATTCAATAACCTATAACTCATCTGCATTATAACAGTACCATAATATTACAGTTGATGGATCAAACTGAACCAAACATTCAACTACTATAGACATATAACCAAATATCTGTAATGGATATAAGATTGAATCTGTACATATCAACCATATCAACCTTTTGTTTTTGAACTTATATGAATGTATGATAGGCCTTTCATAGATCCAAAGTTGTTATCTCACAACAACCCAGAAAGGCTATTGCATAAATGCTATTTTAATTGCTGTTTCTGTACTTACAACTTTATCTTTTCAATGTTAAGTAACTAAAGATGCTTCATAATCATGAGGACTAGAACTTAAGGTGGGTGTTCTGTTGCTATGCATATCCATCTTACCCAGAATACTTCAATCTTCAACAGGCAATCTGCAAATGCACATAACCATGATTATTTACCACTAGAAGATAAGGAAACAATGAAATATAAGATTAGGTCTAAACAATAAATTCTTATGAGATGAAAACCTTTCTGTTAAAAGGGAAGAGGTTGTGATGTAGAAGATGGAAAAGCTTGTGGACTATGAGCTTCTGAATATGTCAGATTCGGAGGTAATTAAACCAGTGGATTTGCATACAGGACATAGATTTTTGCATCTCAACCACTGTGTGATACAAGTAGTATGGAAATCATGGCCACATTCCAGGTTTCCCAACTCATCCTCCCCCGTGTATTCCTCCTGTTTTTAAAGCAAAACATTTTCACATTTCATTTCCAAAGTAATGGAGATTAACACTTCCATGAAAAGTACTCAGAAGGACTAACTACCTGGCAAATACTGCAAGCTTCTTTTGGACCATCAATTTCTGAGAATTTAATGTATCTACTTTTTTTAAGATGATTCATGATTGCTTCTTCAGAAAGTCCTGTATTTACATTCCCTATGTGCTCCTCCAAAGCCAATAATTCCTATGAAGATCAGTGATGGCAGAATGTAAGAAATAAAAACAGAGCATAGTCAACTATGTAGGAAAGGTTCATAGGATCACCTCATACGACATGTTATCCACATCTAGCCTCATATCTCCATAGTGGTCATGCAAATTTTCTATATCAAACAAGGGTGACTGGCTAAGAAGCAAAGTGTCCTGCTCATGTTATCAATGTATAATTGTAAGAAAATTGGAACAGATAGAATTATTAAATGTTATGACTCTTGAAATATTAAGAGTATATTGAATTACACATGGGAGGGAGTAAGCGCCAGCATGCACCAACAAAACATCAGCATCAGAAAAAGAAATAAAATATCTGTGCAATTTGGCCAGGTTGGACCAGGTTGAAGTAAACCATAGGCAAGGGTATCTCAACCAAATCTGGCCAAACCTGAGCCCCAACCCGATGACCAGTTCTTAGAATGTATTACTCTAAGCCAACCTGGTTAACTTGGCTTTCATAATCAGATATAGTCGCTTTAGCCCAATAAATGCATGACAAAATCCTGAATTAATTACCTTTTTTTGTTCAGAAACACAGAATTTCATTATAAAAGTTGACTGGTATTATATTAATGACCTTTTTTTTGTTCAGAATTTCAATGTATAATTGTAAGCAAAGTGTCCTATTATAAAAGTTGACTGATATTACCCAAACTTTAATGGTACTTAAGGATTAGGTATATAATAGTGCATACATGTATAGAGTCAGGTTCAGGTTTGGTCAAGTTTCTTTAGGCCTCGACCCTAACCCAGCCATCCAAAATGAGGTTCGGTTCATCCCTATTTTTGCCAATCTGATTTTTGAAGATTTCAACTTAACTGGCCAAAAACCGGGTTGGGTCAGTAGGGTTCAAGGTTCACCGGTGCCATGTCGCACCCCTGACATACAATAAACATTTGACAATTGCTATGTTGTTTAGTGTTTGATTCTTCTTCCCAAAATGTAGGTTAAATTGGTTTTACATTCTCATATTATAGCACCAAATTATTCTTTGCATGCAAGGAATACAAAAAGCTCAGAGTAGAGCAATAAAAGGCCCAGTCTCTTTCCCATTTACAACATATTGCCAAGACAAAGGATGGATGATAATCTTCAGGGGAAATGGTTATTTCAGTTGCCAATATTGTTAATTTTAATTAATGACACTCTAAGACCATCTCTAATTTACTCATTTTAAATGTGAAACTTTTACTTTAGTTACTCCTTTAAGGTAAGAAAATATCTGAATAAAAAAATCCAAATCATATGATTTGTCAGGGAGGATGTCACTTATATATGTTTCTTAAATTGAAATTAGGGTAAATTACAAATACGTACCCTGTACTTTGGGGGTAGTGACAGATAGGTACCCTGAACTTTCAATTTTAACACCGAGTATCCTGAACTCTCAAAAATAGGCACTTACATCTATCCTCAAAAAATACGCTTTTCATGTATTTCTGAGATCATTTTGGATGTATTCCGTCAATTCCCCATTTTGAGTTTCTACCACTACTGAATTAATTTCGTCAACTTCTTGGTTCTGAGTTTGAATCACTTTGGATGCAGTTTCTATTTCACAATGCTGAAATCATTCACTTCACTTGTAAGGCAATACTTACCCAAAGTGAGACTGATAAATCTTTGTAGGTCTTCACTAACCTTCCTACATTCCTCTACATTCAAATTTTCCACCTCCATTTGTTGGTCATTTTCCACTTCCCATATAGTAGCCATATCATCCCACCAAGCTAACTAATCAATCCATCATGATCTAAAGATTCTTGATCCTTAACAGAAGCCCCATTCTGCACTAGTATATCAACCTCATTTGCCCCCACACTTGCTTCCTTACCAGTATTTTCTTGATCATTGTTTCTCAACTACGTCTTCCTTGACATCTTCGCTATTTTGAATCTCCTTCCAATCAACAAACTCCATTATAGTCAAAACGTTATAGCCATCTTAGACCATTATATTTGTTTCCATTGTGTAGTTTGCAATCATATCATCTCCGAATTTTCTTGAGATGATATGACGAATTATCAACCAAAGGTGAATTCGCCTCTATAACAATACCTACATCATCGCGAGTGTCCACATGAATTATTGATCTTCCCTCGATGTTATGCACTTTAGATTCAACGACACATGTAGGCTAGAAGACTTAAGAGGCCTCTTTTGCCTTCATCTTCTGAAACGTTCCACATAACCACATCCCTAGTCCAATCTTTCTTCTTCTTCTTCTTCATAAACAATAATAATCGTCTCTGCCATGGAGGATCCCTAGTTCTAGTTTGCAGCATTGAAAAAGCAACAACACCATAGTGACCGACCAAGGCTGATAGCTACCACAACTAAACTTGGCTAGTGGTGCATCCTGACCATAAAACACTATGGCTAAATTGGCTATACAATTATTACCCTACAGACATGTATGATTAGTACATCACACTAGCAGTGGTAGTAAATGCATCCTAGCAACCCCATGAAGCACAAAGTAATATAACTACATCTGTTGTAGTAGTTGTATACCCTTTCTGAATAGAATATAGGGTGGGTGTATGTATGTGTGGCATGTGGGAGCTCCATGCTACATACAATTTGGCAAAGTACAGAGCCAAATGAGTTTAGTAAGCATAATAGAACATTATGTGTACAAATTAGTGCCTTGAAGACCTAAATGGATTTAGTAGAGATAATGAAAACACCATTCTCATTGATGTGTCATTTTCTAGGCTCCTTGATTAGAATTTAGCTACTACCAGTCCTAGATGATCCAAATTTGATGAGATGGAGATTTATGTGGGTACATTTCCTTTCCTGCAGCATGCATGGTTATCCCACAGGGCCACAATATTCTAAAGTATATTTCCTGTATCACATGCCTCTAGAATTTATTAGTTAATAAAAATACAAAAGAGAATGAATGTACTTAGTGGAGAATATTTGATGACATAAGAGGCATTAACTCCAAACCTCAGATGAAAGCATGAATTGTCTATGACCACTAGCTGTTATCCTCCTTAACAAAGCTGAAGCTTCTAACAAGTCATTAGCCAATCTATGCATAAAGACCACTGACTGCACATATCGTTGTGTCAAAAGATCAACATCATTCTGTAGCCCAACTTCTTCATCTGTGGAAGAAGCAGCTTGCCCATATTGAAGAGGAGGAGTATTTCTACTCTGGGAGTCATATCCAGTATCAGCAAGCAAGGGAGTCTGGACCACAACAGATGGCCCACGAGGGATTCGAGAAAGACTAACATGGTGGCAAATAATATAGTTGAAAGATGATGGTGGTAGTCGAATTCCTGAGTTTGATACAAAATGAGAACCAGAAAAGATGCTTCCAATATGCTTAATTATATTTGATAATGTAAGATGTGAGACTTCTAGGGTGCCTTCAGTCAATCTCCTTGAATGGGCCTTTGATAATGAAATCCGTTCCCTTCTGTAAATGGATACAGCATTTGATGAAATAATGACCATTGAACTATTTTCCGAGCATGATCTGACAGACAACATATTTTGTTCATAATTTAATATATTGCCTGAATTTTCTTGCTGTGAACTTGTGTTGGGTATGTCTGATGTTTGGTCAACTATGAGTGACCTTCCAATTAGGGATGACCATGTCTGCATACCACAAATATAAAGTAGCAAGCCAAAAGTCAGTGGAAAGACTTAATGAAGTAAAAATAATTAATTAATTAATTTTATTATAAATATCTTGGTGTCTGGTGATGGTGAAGGGATATATATACTATAATTTTGTAGTAATTATAGTATAATTTTGTAGAAAACAAAAAAGGAAATTGATCAAAGCTATTTAGGGAATTAAAGGATAAAAAGTGGAGAATTCGGCTTCGATCAGTGCATGTCAGTGCTCATACCGTTCAAACAGCTATGATTAATAGCTCACAGATACATCCCACCATGCATTAGGAGCATTTAATGTACTTATACATGTTATTATTGATAAAAGATGTTCTCAATGCATGATGAGATGTGCATGTGAGATGCCCTATCAGTAGGGGAGACCTATGATTAATAGTTGGAATGGTCCATTTCTATGGTTTGAGGAGGTTGAAATCGAGGAGGTAGTGTTTGACATGGATAAGGATAGAGTTCCTGGCTTAATGGATTTCTCATGTTACTATACCAAATCTATTGGAGGTATTTGATGATTTTTACCAGGCAGGGCTTAAGGCAAGGATGCCCACTTGTCCCTATTACTATTCACTTCAGTTGCTGATATTCTTAACTAGTAATTTCATTGAGAAAGCTAAGGATAGGAACATAGTAAAACGGTTTGGCATTGGAAAGAATGAAGTCCTGGTTTTTAACCCCCCAACTTGTAGGTAGGGATGTCAATGGGTTGGATTAAACGGTACACCTGATTAGGTTCAGACATATTCGGGTTCAGGATTGGGTTAGAGTTTTGATTCTTCAACCCATGGGGTTCAGATTTTAGTTGACCCAGACCCACCAGGCCAAGTTATGGTACTCCTGCATATATACAGGACATTTTTATAACTTTTTAACTCCTAATTCTATAGCCTTAATATTTAATTTTTTTTTTCATGTTGATTTTGGTTTTATTCTTTTTTTAATGGAAAAAGTGACACCTTAAAACCAATAAAACAAATTCCAGTTCCAACTTAAATTAATGAATTTTAAATTTTCGGAATGTGTTATAAAAAATACAATTGAACAGTTGTGGGTTGGGTCGGGTCGGTATCAGGTCACCTGAGACTTATACAGTCGGGCCAGCTTAGGGTTGAAACAAATCCGTATTGAACCCGATAACACTAGTGCATTTTTCGACACCATGAAGGAGAATCTTGGACCTCTTTTCTAATTAATGTTAAGTGGATTTTAAGAAACAAGTGGACAAAAATTTGTGAAAATAATAAATAATGACTCACATATATGGTGAAAGCCTTGTCAGGTTCAACATAAAGCAACGTTAGCCCATCATTCCCTCGAAATGAACTCAATATTCCACCCAGTGGCTGATCAGGAACAACTTCAAATTTCTTTTGCTCACTAGACTCACAATTGTTGCCATGAGAGCAGCTTGGAATGTTGCTACTTTCTTCAATTCTTCCACGTCTACATGTAAAACAATTACACAATTTATGCAATTGAATCCAATTCCTCATTCAATGCAAAAAACAATAATAATATCGAAAAAATAAAATGAGAAAAAAATGGACTTGGACCTGTTCGTGTGCAAGGTAGCCCAAGGAGCACCACACCTAACCTGGCCCATTCTTTATCAGGTTTGGATGAAACTTTAGGTCTATAGACTCGAGCTCGGGTTTTCTTAAATAAGTTTGGCCCAAGCCCCACAATATTACATATAATAAAAATATATATTGATAATATATAATATGTTAGTTTATTAAATTATAATCAAATTAATATAATGTTAGTTTACTAAATTACACATAAGTAGGACTTTTTATGTTCAGGCCGGGCTTTGGGTTTGGGCCTAGGATTCAGGCTTTATATAAGGAAGGGTTGGGCTCAGGCTCAAGATATGGTCAGGTCCAATTTGGGCTCAAGTCTGAATATTTTCTATTAATAATGAGGCAAAGCCCTACCCAACCCGCAATCAACAACAATGTTTTCGTACCACAATTGACCCAGATGGTTAGACCATTCGGCTCGGGAACCATCCAGGCAACCAGTTCCGTTTTACCCTAAATTCAGTCCTTCACCAAAAACCATTGAATTGATCAATGACCCGTTGACCTAAGTAGTCGAACTGTCACGCAATTTGATCAATTCAATGATTTTTTGGTTTTTTTTTATTTTAATTATTTTTAATTTTATAATGTTTTTGTCAGAACGGATCATCCGTTTGAACCCAATAATCAAACCGTCAACCCAAAAACCGATGGTCAGAACGATTCCGATTCCAAGTCGGTTTTTAAAGCATTGATCAACGGATCTAATTGTGCTTGCTTGGAATGTTGCTTTTTAGATAAATTTCTTGTAGATAATCAAATAATCTCACATTTGAGCATAATAATCAAGTTGACTACAATACAAAATTTCTGTCCAACCACTCATAAATTGGTTCCAACTCTGAATTTGGGAAACAGAAAGAACATAAATTGAAAACAAAACAAAACAACAAAAACAAAATTCAGCTGACCTATACTGAGCAATATGTTCTAAGGGAAGCACTGAATTCTGTACTATTTTGACTTGAAAGCGTGGAAAATAAAATACAGAAGCATCACAATTTCTATGTTTGTAATTTTGTTTCTACACAGTTCTTTTCAAAATGCTCCAGAAACTGAAAGTCCAATAATCAGACGTATGTGTTTTTTCAGGGATATCAAACTAATGGGCTTAACAAAAACTAGCATACCTGAATCGCTTCGGAGGATTCTTTCGAGGTGGCATCTGAGGAGAAGGTTGATGCAGGATTCTATTACAGAGATGAATGTGAAAAGAGAAGAACAAAGGAATGAGTTGAAGATAGAAATGGACTTGTTTAAAAAACAGAGCAAGTTTTATCGTGTGTGAATCAAATTCAATATAGGAGGGAATTTAGTTGTAGTTTGTTGGGGTTTAGCGGTTATAGTTGCGACGGCTTTGCTTTGTAACGGAAATTGGGAATTGAGTGATTTATATGCAGTGTTTTAAAATCCAAGCCGGAGGCTAAATCATTTTTGTCTTTTTTTTTTTTTTGCAAAAATAATGAGACGGATGAATATAAAAAAAAATAGAAATTTTATTGTTCAGTCCATCCCAACAAATTTTAACCCTATCGTATAGAATCATGACCATAAATTGATATCAAATTCATGGGCAGAATGTGATTTATAGGAAAGGCTACTAATAGGCTAGGAGGAGTTGTAATTTCAGATTTATGAAGTGGAATCTATTTTTTCTAAAATAAAAATAAAAAAAGAATCTTTAGGCAATCAAGTGCAAAGTTGAGAGCTATGTTTGGTTTAAAGGAAAATGTAGAGAAAATAAAAGAAAGATAGGTAAACCTTCACAAATCTTGTATTTATTTTTTATCATCCCAATCAGACCACCAAGTTCAAAATTATGACCTTCAAAAGATTTGGTATACGTGTAAATCAAAACCCATGATTTAATGGTTCGTACAGTTTGACTATTGGGATCAACCTGTTGAAAACAACGTTTATACATTGTTTGAGATTTTGTGATTCTGTGATTATTGTTGAGCATGTAGCTGAGCTAGAAATAGCCCAAAATCCAAAACTACATAAAATGCATTTTAGAATTTGGACCAAACACATCAAAACATTATCTAGCCATACGCATTTGATGTGATGTAATGGCAGCACTCCCTTGCAAAGTCGTGACACTTTACCCAACTGTACAACTGTAATGAAGCATAGTAGGGTTCTCGTGAACAAGAGATACAAATTAATTATATTAACAGTGGCAGGTGGAAATCCAGTCTGATGCATGGTTAGCGTTGTTTGTGTTTGATTGAGGGGTCACAAAACTCAATTACAACTAAGACACAAAACTCAAAGTCAGAACTTATATAATCGGTTCGATTGGTTCAATTCTATTGGATAGACCCAATCCATTGACAGCTTCAAGGTTAGTGTTGAGACTCAATCGATCAACGTTTAGTCCGGTTGACTCCAATAAAAATAAAATATGAATTCAAATTTATTTTGATTTTTTTCATAATTATTATTTACAAGTAAAACCAATTTAATTGAATCGACATTTTTGTCTTAAAATCTCAGAGCTAGAAAACTTTCACTTTTTGACAAGTTTTTCTTTAATTCTTTCTACTTTCTTCAGTCATTTCCTATGAGATTGAGAAAAGTATAATTATCTTCATGGACGATCAAGAGAGTAAGCTGCTTCCATCCCTCCTGCATCCCTAAGAAAGCAAAGGCATTTTCTATATCTTGAGCGTCGGAGTGCTCCTCTCTAGGGAACCACCTCAGGACCTCTTACCTTCTATGTGTGTAGGTCATTAGATCCAGTTCAACTTGCCCAATTCGACAAAGCACTTAATATGTTGCTTGTGGACCTCAATTCGAATAGTATCAACATCTAAAATCTCCTAAAATGCATACATACATACATACATATATACATACAAAATGCAAAGAAAACTAAATAATAAAATTATTTTAGATTTTTTTTCAGGTGGATTTCAGATGAGTTCAGAAAAGCCACAAAAACCATAGTTTTTAAAACCGAACCGGTCAGGGGTCCGGTTACTGGGTTGAACAATCTGACCATTCGAACCGAACGCTCTGACCATTCTAACACAAAAATAAAAACCAGTCAAAATGGTTTGAACGATTAACCACCCGGTTCAACAGTTTACTAACTAAAATCAACAGTTTTGGAGGAAAATTCGGTTTTGAGAGAAAACAGAACTGATTACCGACTGATTCCCGATTTTTTTGATCTGACCACCCGTTCCGGTCCGATTTTGAAATCCATAACAAAAACATATAGGGTTTACCCTTTACCAGCATGTGATGTCCAAACACTACAATTGAACATGTTGATGAGAAGATATGTAATAGCTCAAACTTCATACCAAGTCATTTTCGAGGCGTGATCCCTTCCACCAAAACAAAAAGAATACATCCACATTTCTCACAGCAAGAGAATTAACCTATTTGCTAACCTATAGTCCATAGATGAAAATGAATGCATATGTCATTTTCCATTAGAGATTAGAAATAACAGACTATGTTTATTTACGGTGTAAATCTGAATTGAATACAAATTTCACACTCAGTTCAGTTTTGTATTCTTCCCTATCTTTCATATTAAGTGGAGATCATTTCATTTTATTTTCTATTTGTTTCTCGCAAACAAATAACACCATCAAATTTCAAACAAAAAGTAAAGAATTTACACTTTACCTGTTTGCACTCCCATGCATGGTTTTTAAAATTGACTCAGAGACCGAACCGGTCAGCGGTCCGGTTATCGGGTCGAACGGTCGGCCTATTCTAACAAAAAATTAAAAAAAAAATAAAAATGGCCAAAACTATTCGAACGATTAACTGCCCGAGTCAACTGTTTGCTGACCAAAATCAACCGTTTTTAAAAAAAATCCAATTTTGGGGAAACTGAAACCGATCACCTGACCGATTCCCAGTTTTTCGGTCCGACCATCCAGTCCAGTATGGTTTTGAAAACCATACTCCCATGCATTTGCATTTGTATAGTGCAAAAACAAATTGAGCCATAATTCAATTTAAGACTTTAAGCAATAAAATAATAATAAATAACTTCTAGCAATCCAAAATCACAACCCTACAGTGGGTATACCAGTAATAGCAGTCACAATAAGCAAAAACCACAGGCCCAAAAGAGATCTGAAAATAATTAATTAATTAATCAATGGAAAAGTAGCAAGGTTTTGTTGATTTCCGAATAATTAATATTCAGCCTAATTAATTACTTGAAAGAGAATTCAAAAATGCAACACATCAACGGAAATGTTGTTTGTTATGCTTTCTTATGTTAATATATCAAATCTTATTTCTACCAAAGAAAAGCCAAATGTTGTGCCATTGAAAAATTAAACATCTGCTGTCGTTCGGGACGTGATTGCCGAGAATGGTCGGAGATCCAAACGGGTGTCTCTGTTCCTCCTTCCATGGCTGTCTGTTGTTGTTAATTAGGAGATAATGGCCACCATGCAGTCCTAAGGCTTAAATGAGCAAGAATTTCCTTTATTTGCCACAACACAGGATTTATTTGTTTTAATCTGTAAGCTCAAACATTGAGCTAGGCCAAGAAAGGTGGTTGGTAAGAGAATGAAAGCTCAACTGGGATGCTTCTGCAAATAGAGCTTGAGGACCCACATGAAGGCTCTCAGGCGCTACATTTCAACAGAGTCACATGTATACATGGTCAGGACCACTTCTAATGAGTTGTCTTGGCCAAAACTGAGCATGAGATGATGATCATTAAATGTTTCATATGTAACTACATCTCCAAGCTTTTTTCTTTTCTTTTGCTTATCTCCAGAAAGTAGTAATAATATTCCATGATTGGACTCATCTGATCACATTTGTTCTCGGCAAATTAATCTTTTAGGTATAAGATTATAGATTAAAACTCATTAAATGTTTATTCCAGCATCCAATGCTACAAACCTTAAAAGGGATCATTACTTGGTATAATGGTAAATTTCAGGCAGGATTCAAGCTGCTGGGTGCAGAAAATGACAAGGGTTAATATATATATATATATCCAGTCTATCCCTCCCGTTAACCCAGAACCCAGATAGTTGGGACCAACATTGGGTAATGGTCTTTAATGTCTGACTACGAACCAACCTCCTGGTGGGTGGGTATCATGCATATATCGGGCACAAACCTGGGTACAGCCAGCAGAAGGCCATCTACCACCTTGTGGCTCTGGTTAGCTTGGGACTGCTGGTTGTCTGTCTTGAATTTGAATTTGATAATGAAGTCTAGACCACACATATTCATTGCACTTCTTTCCACCGGAAGAGTGAAACAAACCGAGCCATGGCCGTTTTTTACATTGACTGAAGAGTAAGAACATAAGACCTGGAGAGTTTTGTCTTTGATATGCAAGCTGGTCGGAAGAGGGTCAAGTCGCGTCGAAATGGTCGGAAGCATGGTCGGGCAATTCATCAACAAGGTTGCCGAACAAGCCACGCCTCTAAAGACTAAGATTGTCGAGAGGATGGGATGGGATTGTACACACAGAGGCTGAGGGCGAGGTGGGGGCACATTTCCATGTGACACTACACCAGAAAACATGTGAGGGTTTCAGCAATGGTAGGGATGAACAGACAGGGCAAAAGAAATGGAGATGGAGATCAACCCCTTTTCAGCTAAATGCGATATGAGATATAAATTTTGTTGTTTGGCTAGGATGCGGGTTGAGACCATTATACGTGACAAAGTTATTGCCTACCATCTGTTTGTGTATGAGTTTGAGGATATTACTGAATGGAGATTTGACAAAGCTTGTACTGATTCTACTGAATATGGGACCCATGCATGCCCCAGAAGCCAGAACTAGGGTTTGTTTCTAATCTAATAAATTAAAAATCCAGGTTAAAAAATTAATTTCTTGGCTGACACATTTCACTGGTTAATGGTTGGTATAGAAAGAAATTTAAATCAGATATGAATGTTTTATTACTGAACCAATAAAAATATTTTTATTGGATTTCTAATAAATAATAAATGACTTTTCAAATTAGAAACGATTAGTATAAATATAAGAATTAATATTTAAAACTTTGTAAGTATTTCTTTAAAAAATTGTAGCTTCTCGCAAGTACAAATAAAAAAACCCAGTAATACTCTGTCCAAAACTCAACAAATTCCAAATCATTTTATATATCCCTGAAGAAATTTAAACCAGAAATGAATGTTTCATTACTTGGCTAATCAACAAAACATAACTTTATTACATTTCTAAAAATAATAAATAATTTTCAAATTAGAAAAAGTTAGTGTGTATATATATATATATATATGTATATTAGGGTTCAACTATGATACCAGAAAAACATCATATCTGAAAAACTTACATCCAATCAACCAGTGTTGTATAAAACTTGACCAATCAGGTGGTATTTATCAAAATTAACAGTGTGATTTGATTGATCAAAGCTCTTTCAATACCATATCTTTCCAATATCATAAATTTTTCCTAGAATTAAAATCGAGAAGTTTGTAAATATTCCTTAAAAAATTGGAGCTTCTCACAAGTATAAATAAAAAAGTAAAAATACCTTGTCCAAAATTCAACAAAATCCAAATCCATCAAAGCTTTGAGGTCAATAGTTATTTCTACATCCCTAAAGAAATTTAAACCAGAAACAAATGTTTTAATACTGAGCCAATCAATAAAAATATAACCTTATTGAATTTCTAAAAAATAATAAATATAAGAGTTAATATTTAAAAATTTGTAAACATTTCCTTAGTACAAATAAAATAAAAACAGCAATACTCTCTCCAAAACTCACCAAAATTCAAATTAATTAATTCAAACCATTTTCTTCACATACAATTTAACAATGGTTATCCAAATGATTCATAGTTGAATTGGTTGAAGGACATCCCTTCAACGCACTATAGGAAAAATGACTTTTAGCGGCAATCAAAACTGCCGCTAGAAGTTTTACCAACAATCAACAAAATGCCACTTGTGGCTGCCAGTAAAAACGAATTACTGCCCTTGAAACTACTTTAGCGGCAGTTGCAACGGCCACTAAAAGATAAACTAACTGGCATTATAAGTCTGATGCATTTTTTAGCACCACTAATTCTATATTTTTTTTCATATAATCTATATTTTTTATAAAATTATTCCTACTTTGCTTCATATAATCTATACTTTTTTAAATTATAATCTAAAGATTATAATTTTTCATATAATCTATATTTTTTAAATTATTCATCTACATTGGAATGAAATGCAAAAATCAAAACATCAATTACAAATGCAATTTAAAAGTCTATTCTCCATTCAAAACATTTGAATCACAAATTAATACTGATGTTATCTGATCTGAGGTGTTCCGAACTGAAGACACAATCAGATAGTCCTACCAATTGGACAAAGCCAAGGTGAAAGGACGAAACTGCACACCAAGATCTGCAACCAGGAGAAAGATCAGAGGCCCAAGTAGTTGTTCCCCGGGTAGGTACTCCAACTCTCAAGCTAGTAGGAAAGAGAAGGATGTGGTCGGAACTAGCAAGTTAAAATAGCATTGATGACGCAGCGTGGAAGCAATAAACCGGGCTGGCTATGCAAGTACCGGGCGAACCAAGCTTCTAGCGAAGCAAGAAAGAAAGAAAACTCTAGAGGAGAGAGAAAAGGTGGCGAAGATTGATGAATAATTCTGAAGTGTCTATTACTGAAAACAATAGCAGTATTTATAATACATCTGGAAGTCATAGAATAATTAGGAAAGAAAAATTGTAGTTGATCTAAACATCTCAAACACATAGCTAGATCGAACTCTTCTTGATCTTGGTCTTGATAGGATCGAACTCCTTGGCTGGATCTTCACCGTTGGATCTTCTTGGATCTAATCCATGAATCTTGGGATTCTTGGATTGTCTTGATCTCTGGGAAGTCTTGATTATCTTGAATTCTTGAATTCTTGATGAATCTTGAATTCTTGATGGATCTTCAATCTTTCTTGAATTATCTCTTTCTTGGATTATCCTTTGAATTATCCTTATCCTAGGAGCTGCCGCCCCCAAGGTGATGTAGGCCTTGGAATGGGCCTCCATCATTCTCCCCCACTTGGAAAGAACTCGACCCCGAGTCGTGGCTGGGATATGCAAGTGTCACCTCTAGCAGATAGCGATGGATGTCAGCAACATTGAAGGTCTTAGAGATACCCATATGCTCTGGTAGGTCCACGACATAGGCATTGTCATTGATTTCCTTCATGATCTTGTATGGACCGTACTTCCAAGGCTATAACTTGTTGTATTTTCCCATGGGAATCCTTTCCTTCCTCAAAAGACCATAACTTCATCACCGACGTCAAATACTTGGGGCCGACGATGCTTGTCTGCTGCTAACTTGTACTTGGCGTTGGTTTGCTCTAGTTTCTGCTTCACGGCTTCTTGGACGGATTGGATCTGGTCCGCCATCTGTTCTGCGGAGGCACTGACACTGGGTACTCTGGGTAGTTTTACTAGGTCTAGTGCATGATTTGGAACCTTCATGTAGACAATGGAGAATGGGGATCTACCTGTAGAACTGTGTACAGCATTGTTATAAGCGAACTCAGCCTGTGCAATGGCGAAATCCCATTGTTTTGTTCTCTCCTGACATATACTGTGAATCAAGTTACCAAGGGTCCAGTTCACCACCTCGGTTTGTCCGTCTGTCTGCGGATGGGCTGTGCTGCTGAAATTTAGTGACGAATCAAATAACCTCCATAGGGTCATCCAAAAGTGACTTAGGAACCTTGTGTCTCGATCTGATGTAATAGTCTTGGGTACCCCATGTAGACGGACAATCTCCCTGAAAAATAATTTGGCTGTTGCAGATGCATCTGTTGTTTTCTTGCATGGGAGGAAGTGAGCCATCTTAGAGAACCTGTCAACTACCACGAAGACAGAGTCCATATTTCTTTGTGTTTTTGGCAGGCCTAGCACAAAATCCAAGGACAAGTCTTCCCAGATCGTAGTAGAAACCGGTAGGGGTATGTAGAGACCAGTATTTTGGGCATGTCCCTTAGTTGTCTGACAAATATAGCATCTACTCACAATAGTGGATACATCCCTTCTTAATTTCGGCCAGTAGTAACGCCCCTTAACCGCTTCAATTGTTTTATCCCTTCCCAGGTGTCCTGCTAATCCACCCCCATGCAAATCCCTGATGATCTTCCCACGGAGGGAGGTGCAAGGGATGCACAGTTGTTCCCCTTTTATAAGGAACCCATCATGAATGTAGAAATCATCTGCTGGCTGTCGATCCATACATTTCTCCCACACCTGTTGGAAGTCTTCATCCTGGGCGTATAGGTCTTTTAGGCACTCAAAACCCACAATCTCAATACTGAGGGTCTTGATGAGGGCTACTCTTCTGCTAAGGGCGTCGGCCACTTTGTTCTATTGTCCAGCCTTGTACACAGTTTTGTATGGGAATTTGTCAAGGAAAGCAGACCATCTAGCATGCAAATCACTCATTAATTGTTTTTGCCCACTGAGATATTTTAGGGCCTGGTGGTCAATGTAAAGAACAAATTCCTTTGCAATTAAATAGTGTTCCCATGTTTTCAAGGCTCTTACCACAGCATAGAACTCTTTGTCATAAGTGGACCACTTTCTCCTGGCTTCACATAATTTTTCACTGAAAAAGGCAATGGGTCTCTTTTCTTGGGACAATACAGCCCCTATGCCAACTCCACTGGCATCACATTCAACTTCAAACATTTTATCAAAATTTGGTAAGGCAAGGACAGAAGCAGTACATAACTTTTCTTTTATGAGAGCAAAACTTTGCTCTTGTGCTTCTCCCCATTGAAATTTTCCCTTTTTCAAACATTCAGTGATGGGAGTTACAATACTGCTAAATGTTTAATAAATCGCCTGTAGAAAGTTGACAACCCATGGAAGCGTCTCACATCTGTGACATTTGATGGGGTCGGCCACTCCCTAATGGCTTTCACTTTTTCTTCATCTACTTTAATTCCTTCCTTGCTCACAATGAATCCCAAGAATAATAAATTATCACTCATAAAAGTGTATTTCTTCAAATTAGCATATTTTTTTTCCCTCAATGCCTTTAGGACCTCCCTAATGTGTCCCACATGCTCAATGATAGATTTGTTGTAAATTAAAATATCATCAAAATATACCACAACAAATTTACCAGTAAAGGGACGCAATACCTGGTTCATCAACCTCATGAATGTGTTGGGTGCGTTGATTAGTCCAAAGAGCATCACTAACCATTTGAACAGGCCATCTCTAGTCTT